GAGGGAGGGGACAGAGACAGAGACAGAGCGAGACAGAGACAGAAGACAGACAGAGACAGGAGACAGAGACAGAGACGAGAGAGAGAGAGAGAGAGAGAGAGAGAGAGAGAAGACACACAGAGAGAGAGAGAGAGAGAGAGAGAGCCTGAGCGATAATATAACGTAATATACACTTAAGGTTACCGAAGAGATAGAAATAAAGAAAAAGAATAAAAAATGTCACTCGCGGGCGGCACATGTATAACAATGACTGTCTAACCCTCACTCCCGATCACCTCCTCCTTCACCTTCTTCTCCTTCTTCTTCTCCTCCTTCGCGCGACTGGTTCAGATCCACATTCCTTTTTCTCTGCGCGCCTGGTTCAGATCCTCTCCCCTCCTTCGCCTCCCCTATCTCCTCATACTTTCTATCGCCTCCTTCTCCTTCTTCTCTTTCTCTTTCTCCTCCTCCACCTCCTCCTCCTTCTCCTCCTCCTCCTCCTCCTCCTCCTCCTCTTCCGTCTCCTCCTCTTTCGCTGCTTCCTCCACCACCTTCTCCTCCTTCCCCTTCTCCTCTTCCTGACCCTCCTCGGCGCCACTCGCTCAGCCCGCTAGATGGCGCCTCTCTCGCTCTTCGTCCCATCTCTCTCCTCGCGCTCGCGACGCCCGCCTCCACCAGCAGCAGCGCGCCGCCGCCGACGGCCGCCACCAGGGGGAGCACGAGCACGTGCGCCAGGTGGCGCAGCGAGAGCGTGCCGGCCGCCACGTGGCGCTCGTGCGCGTCGCTGTAGCCGCCGCCGCAGTGCGGGTCGGCGTCCGACAGCGCGTCGGCGAACCACTTCCCGAGCAGGCCGCTCTCGGCGAGGCGCAGGATGCCGTAGTTGAGCGCGTCGACGTAGCGACTGTCCGGCGGCAGGCACCAGCCGAGGCTGACGTCCAGCAACGCGACGGGCGCGATCGCCAGACGACACTCGCCTGTCGCGACGTAGTCGGCCGCCATGTAGGCGCGCGCCCACAGCGTGTTGCTCACGTAGAAGTGGTCGCCGTCGGCGGCCAGTTCGAGTCCCGTTGCCGGCTCGGCGACGCGCGCGCGCGGGTCGGCGAGCACTTTCGCCCACAGGTGGCGCTGCGGCGAGTCGGGCGCGCCGTCGCGCAGCCAGGCCTCCTGCGCGTGTCCGCGCGTCACGGCGGGAGTCAGGCGGCCGTCTATGGCCTCGGCGAGGCTCAAGAACGGGTAGGCCTCGGTGGCGGTGACGGCGAGCAGGCTGACGATGTTGGCCGTGTAGACGGCCGTGATGGCGATCGCGAAGCACCACCAGCAGCAGACGAGCAGGCGCGCCGACGCGGCGCGCGGCCGGTAGGTGCCTCCCTGCATCGCCAGCGACGCCGCCGCGAACATGAACGCGCGCGCGTAGCGCCTCCTGCCGCCGCCCTCGCACCGCTGGAACACCGCCAGCACGCCGGCGGACGTCGCCGTGGCGACGAGCAGCATCGTCCACGTGGCGCCGTCTAGCGGCGCGCGGACGGTGAGGGACGGGAGCCGGTGCGTGCGCGGCCGCCGCACGACGAACGTGTACTGCGTCGCGACGAGCTTGTGCAGGAAGACGACGTCGCGCGCGCGCTCGCGGCTCGTCACCGCCATGCCGACGACGTCGAAGTCGCCGCTGCGCATGCGCGCGACGAGGCGCGCGAACGGCGCGCAGACGTCGCGCACGGAGAAGGAGAAGTTGAGGCGGCGCGACAGCTCGGTGAGGACGAACAGCGACGGCGACAGGTAGACCCGCTCGCTGCTTGCGCACACCCAGTAGCCGAAGACGATGTGAGCGCCGCCTAGGTCGTACGGCGGCGATGACGACGCGTCCTCGACGACGGCGGCGGAGCGACCCGCGACGTCGTCGCCGCCTCGATGACGACGACCGTGACGGCAGGAGGTGACGTTACGGAAGCGGACGCGGCGCCGAGGCGCGTCGATGCGGGAGTCGGTTGTCGCGGCGACGCGGTCGGTGGCCGTGGTGACGGAGTCGGTTGTTGTGGTGACGCGGTCGGTTGCCGTCGTGACACCATCGGTTGCCGTGGTGATGGAGTCGGTTGCCGTGGTGACGGAGTCGGTTGCCGTGGTGACGGAGGCGGTTGCCGTTGTGACGTGGTCGGTGGCCGTGGTGACGTCGTCGGTCGCCGTGGTCACGGAATTAATCCCCATGGCGACAGAATTAGTTGCAATGATGATAGATTTGGTTGCCGTGGAGACGATGGCGACATATATGATGAGTGACGCCAGGTGCGCGCACACACGAGCCATGATGACGCACACACGCACGCGTGAACTATAGCTGCTACTAACCACGGCGCGCGTACACGCACGCGTGTATCAAACTGCCACTGATCGCTACTGTTTGCAGGGTTTAGCTTCGCTCGAAGTCGCAGCTAATAGTGCTAGTAGCTACATATACCTGCAGTAACCATGTAGCTAACATTAAACATAGCTACACGTCCAGACAGAGATCTGCTAGCTTCCGCTGCGTTTACTACACAAATGCCGCCGCGTCCAGGCGTATGCCGCGTCAACGGTCCTTGATAATGATAGTTTGAATTCGTAAGTTTTCTCGCACGTTGCACGAGGTACAGGTGCTGCTGTGTCGAAATGTATTGTCGCTGCGCGCGCGTGTGTTTGTGATATATATATATATATATCATCAAGATTTTCGTTTTATTGCGCATGATTTTTATTCCCAATGTGCATATATGCACAACTAGGTGGCAGCACATGACGAGAATGGTTTGGAGGCTGGCGATAATGCCGATATATTCTGCCAGTAGATGGCGGCCGCGTACGTCGCGACTATTAGATTATTGATAGCTATTATTATAAGCTGGATGTATCTGCAGCGCATTAATTATTTATCTATCTATCTATCAATCTATCTATCTATCTATCTATCTATCTATCTATCTATCTATCTATCTATCTATCTATCTATCTATCTATCTATCTATCTATTATCTATCTATCTATCTATCTATCGTATCTATCTATCTATCTTATCTATCTATCTATCTATCTATCTATCTATCGATCTATCTATCTATCTATCTATCATATTCGATCTATCTATCTATCTATCTATCTATCTACCTACCTATTCTATCTATCTATCTATCTATCTATCTATCTATCTATCTATCTATCTATCCATCTATCTATCGATCTATCTATCTATCTTCTATCTACCGATCTATTTCTCGTACTCTCCCTCTGCTCTCATTATATATATAATATATATACATTTAGTGTTTGTTTAGTTAATTAATTACTTAATTCAATTAATTTATTCACGGTGCTCGGCTCGATCCCTTGTCCGCAAAAAACACCCCTTGGCGCCGTCAACGGTTCGCCGCCGTCAGGGACCTCGCGCACGCAAGCCGTCGATAAAATCGCCCTGCCAGTGACGTCACGCCGTCGCCGCGGGATAGCGTTTGCGAATCGGCGCGTAGTTGTTTCGCGTTCGTTCGTTTGGGCGGGATGACCGGGCCTGACCGGATGACGCGGGGTGGCGGGATGACGCGGTCCTGTGAATGACGGTCAGCGCCACGCAGTGACGGCACGCCGCCCTGGACTATCGCGGCAGACGCCCGGCGGCAGCACAGAAGCTGCA